ACCAGCTGAAGGGTACTTACGTTGCTTTCTAATTTTTTGCAGTTACAAAAAAAGCTACTGTTAACGTTTATTTGCAGATTTTCATGTGAACATGTGTTTTCATTTCTCTTGAATAAATACCCAGGAGTAGGATTGTTGGGTTGTATGGTAAGTGTAAACTTAACTTTTGAGGAAACTACCAAACTGTTTTCTTTAGTGACTATAGATTTTCTGTTTCCACTAGCAGTGTAAGAATGTAACTATTGTTCTGCATTCTTGCTGGCACTTGGCATTATCAGTATATTTTAAAAGCCACTCAATAGGTGTTTAGTGGTATCTCATTGTTGATTCAATTTGCATCTGTGTAAAGATTAATGATATTGAGCATGCTTTCATATGACTGTTTGCCATTTGTGTATCTTTTTTGATGGAATGTCTTTTTTTTTTTTTTGGCCTATTAACACTAATGTAGGTTTTCTTACTGATTTTTTAGAGTTCTTTATATATTTTAGATATATCTGCTTTATTAGGTATGTAAGTGATGAGACAAATGGATAGTTTTTAAAATGGGACTAGCTTTTTGGGAAGCTATGTACAATTGTGAGTTAATAACCCTAGCCCTTCACATTATTTTTGTGACTATTGTTTTAAAATTAGCCAACACTTCTAAAAGGCTTTCTATGAGTTAGGCATTATGCTCAGTATTTTATTTGAATGATTGCAGATATTTTCTCCCAGTCCACGTCTTCTCTTTTTATTGTGTGTGTGTGTGTGTGTGTGTGTGTGTGTGTGTGTGTATGTATATGCACTTATTATTATTATTATTAATATTTTTGGTTCGGGAGACAGTGTCTTGCTCTGTCGCCCAGGCTGGAGTGCAGTGGCATGATCTAGCCTCACTGCAACCTCTGCCTCCCTCGTTCAGCCTCCAGAGCAGCTGGGATTACAGGCACCTGCCACCATGCCTGGCTAATTTCTGTATTTTTAGTAGAGATGGGATTTCATGATATTGGCCGGGATGGCCTCGAACTCCTGACCTCAGGTGATCCACCTTTCTGGGCCTCCCAAACTGCTGGGATTACAGGTATAAGAGCAAAAGTTTTGCTCTTAAAGCAAAATTTATATATTTTTTGCCATTATTTTTTCCATAGATTGTGTTTTTGGTCTAAGAAATATTTACTCAAATAAAGATTACAAAGATTTTTTATGTTTATTTGGAGAAGTTTTATAGTTTTAAGTTTAAAATTTAGGTCTATAATCTGTTTTAAGAGTTTTTGTGTATGGTGTGAGTTACGGACCAAGATTATTTTTATCACATGTGTATGTTCAGTTGTCCTAGCACCACTGGTTGAAAAGAATATCCTTTCTTTTTCTTTTCTTTTCTTTTTTTTTTTTTTTTTTTTGAGGCGGAGTTTCGCTCTTGTTACCCAGGCTGGAGTACAATGGCGCAATCTTGGCTCACCGCAACCTCCACCTCCCGTGTTCAGGCAATTCTCCTGCCTCAGCCTCCTGGGTAGCTGGGATCACAGGCACGTGCCACCATGCCCAGCTAATTTTTTGTATTTTTAGTAGAGACGGGGTTTCACCTTGTTTACCAGGATGGTCTCGATCTCTTGACCTCATGATCCACCCACCTCGGCCTCCCAAAGTGCTGGGATTACAGGCTTGAGCCACCGTGCCCGGCCTAAGAATATCCTTTCTATAGTGTTTTGCCTTTGTAATTTTGTCAAAAATGCCTTTGACCATAAATGTGTGGGTCTGTTTGTCTTTTGCTGTTATCATTTTCTCTCGATTACTGGAGCTTTATAATAAGTCTTCCTCCATCTCTTTTCAAAATTGTTGACTATTTTGGTTCTTTTGCCTTTCCATGTACGTTTTAGAAGTAGCTTTTCTATTTCTACAAAAAATAAATTCTGTTGGGATTTTGATAGGAGAATACTGAATCTATAGTTGAATTGATATCTCAACAATATTTAATCTTTCCCTTCATGAACAGAGGATATCTCTCCATTTATTTAGTTTTCTCTGATTTCTTTCACATATACACCTATATAATATTCTTTTACATATACATATATACATACACATATATATATATGTATATGTGAAAGAAATCTCCCTGTATATTTAATATACAGAATTAGTCTGTGTTTTGTTGGATTTGTACCTAAGTATTTTTCTTGTGTTATTTTGGACTTTTTTCCCTTGTCTTTTGAATTTTGCTTTATCATAAATGGTAGTTTTTTAAAATTCAGTTTTCAGTTGTTTGCCATAAAATAGTTGATTTTGTATATTGGGCTTGTATCCTGTTGCCCATACTGGACATGATCTCAGCTCACCACAACCTCCCCTTTCCAGGTTCAAGCGATTCTCCTGCCTGAGCCTCCCAGGTAGCTGGGATTACAGGGGCATGCCACCATGCCTGGCTAATTTTTCTATTTTTAGTAGAGACGGGGTTGGTGTTGATGTTTTCTGATTGTCTTTTTCTTTGTGAGTTGACATTTTCTCCTTTTGAGAAAATGTTGAGCTGTTGAGTAATTTTGGATTATGTATTCAGTATTTGAACATTTTATAATGAGATTCCTGATCTTCTTTAAATCTTTATTTTATCTTATTTTTGAACAGGCAAACGATCTGATTGAGTTTAAGCTACAAGTTCTAGCTAGTTGTCTTTGGATAGTGGTTTTAATGCCAGCTCTATTTTCAAAACTTTTGCCATACTTTCCAGATCTGTTCTGAGTATACACCCTGCAGAGGCTAGTCTGGGACCTGAGAAGTGATCTTAGTTTATTTTTCAAAGTCTTTGCTATGCTGTTTAGGATGAAGTCCAATCAGCTGCTGCTCAGGGATGAACTGATGAATTCACAGACAGCTTTATGGAGTTACTTTACTAAGTTCCTGGTATTTTGCGACTGCCCTGGTGTTTTTTGTTTTGCTGGACTTCTCTTTTTTCCTCTATCCTAAATGCTGTTGTTTTATTTTTTCTATTCTGCTGTACATTTCCCACAAGTGCACCAGTGTCTAATGCAAAGCAGTATGTGCTTGTGTTGTCTAACATTCCTTGGGGTTCCTGCATTGCAATTGGCAAGATGTTTAGATATTTGGAAATAATTTACATCTTACAGTCTTTCTCTTTTCAAATATACTTGAAGGTAGGACTGGCCATGTGTTTACATGTCTAGGCTTTAGTAACAGAGATCAATTTTTTACTGAGATGAGTCCTGTAAAACTAACTTTACTTTCTTAATTTTTAAAAATGTGTTCTGAGAATATTGCTATTCATTAGAAGGTTGCCTATGTTCTTAGCTCAAAGTCTTAATGTCTGTATGACATCACCAGTAGAAAAGTAATTTATTTATGCTGGAAGTTTGGTAAACACTTACTCTTGACTGTCAATCAGCAGTACCTGTTGAACTTTCCTAAATATAATGTATTTAGGAAATGTAAATATACATTTAGAAATTCTGGGCCCCATCCCTGGAGATTCTGTGTCAGTAGGTATACAGTACAAAAAATTAAGAATGTAACCTACATGCTCACCTCCCCTATTTTAGACATTATTCATGGTCTGGGAGAACCAGAAAAGATATATCTGAGAAAGCTTTCAATGCTGTGTTCCTTGAAGTTTGCTGGTTCAGTCACTGGGTATATTGAGGCAGCCAGGAACCATCTGAACAAATAAGGTATTGAACCTCAGTTGTACTGCCTTGGTGAGGGGCTTAGTCCTGATCAAGGTAGCACATCATCCTGTTGTATTCTCCATGGGTTCATTTTTCTTGAGGCTGTCTTTCTGAACCATTGAGCATGTTTCTTATTACTAAACCAATTCAGCAAGGGATGGAACTTAATATTGTCATCATATTTTCTTCGTAATGTTTTAGAACAAAAATCTTTATTTCAACTTTTTTTTTGAGGCATGATATGCATCCAGTAAAATGGTTAAGGTGTACCCTTCTTAAATGTACAGCTTGAGCTTTTCATATGTATGTTTAACTGCCATACAGTCAGGACATAGAACATCTCCAGCTTCCTACCAGGTTCCCTAGAGTTCCTTCTTAGTCATAACCCCCCTTCCTGTTAGGCTACCATCATTCTTCTGATTTCTAACACCGTAGATTAATTCTGCCTTTTTTCAGACTTCATATAAATGGACTTATGCAATATATAGCCTCATGTAAGTAGTATTTTTAATTCAGTTATTTTTTTGCTTAGCCTTACTGAGCTATTTAATATTATTGCTTATGGCTCTTTTTTACTCAAAACATGTCTAAACCAAAGCAGATTCAGTTGACTTTTGTTTTACATATTTCTTAGGTGAAACAGTCTTAAAATTCTTTAGGAAATTTCTCACATGTTTAATGGTTCTCTATTTCAACCTGCTGAGACCAGCTCAGTCATAGAGACCCCAACCCAGGTGGCGCTGAAGGAAATGGGAAATAGAAACAGCCCAGAGCAGACTCTGACCCATGTATTTATTCTTTGTCAACAAGGGATTATTTTTAATAAGCAGGTATTCAGTGTTTCTTCATAAAATAAAAATAGACAAAACAGGCAGATAGTACCTATTCACTACTAAGATAGAAATAAGCTAAAAAAACACTCTTTGTGAGTCAGCAATGGGGACAAAGTCAAATATCCTGTGTTTTGAGAGCTAGTTTAATTAGTTCATATACTGCTTGCTTATTCTAGCAGTTTCCTGCCTGGGAGTGGCTCGGTGTTCCTTGCCATCTCCTCTCAGCAAACAACATATACTCCAGCACATGCGCATCAAGACTTCCTTCCAACATCAACCACTTATATAGTATCTGTTATTTATTTCCAGAGATTATTCTTATCATAGCTCCTTTTTTCTTCTTCCACATTTCCTTCTACCAGTGCATATAGGTGAAAAGAAGATTTCTAAATTTTATCTCCTGTTTGTTCTTCAGCATGCTAGCATTAGGTCTTGGTAAATGCAGGTTGAATTGAATGTCCATAATTATTGTATTAATCTAGTGTTTTTCTTCTCTTCTTTCTGACAGCATGATGGAAGTGGTTCATTGCATGATATTCAACTATCATTACCATCCAGTCCGGAACCAGAAGATGGTGATCAAGTATATAAGGTATGACTATGTAGTCATGCTGGATTTTTCAGAATTCTTTTTTAATACTAAGATAATGATACAGTGACAATGAAAACATTTAATAATAAATGTGTTAATACCTAGAGCATCAGGTTTGTTCTTAACTTTTGCTACTTTATTAGGTTGAAATGATATCTCTGTGGTGCTTTCATTTGAATTTGTCAGTTAGATAATGATTTCTCCCTGTATTACTACTGTTATAGGATGTTAAAAGAAAATGTCACTTACAATTATAAATAATTGAGTTTTAAAAATATGAGTACCAATAAAAGTTCAAATGGTTATAGATACTTCTCATATGTAAATCCCAAAATTGAAGAAATATAATGAAAATGAGATTGTTACCTCTTTTCATGTTTAAAAATATTGTTATAGACTACAGATGTATTTTGTGAAAGTGTTTTTTTACCATTCTCATTATCATTATGCCTAGTTCTAGTTGAAGAAAGCTCTTTTATTTTGCAACTGTTTAAGCACATATTTATTTCTTAAGCACACACAGATATTGATTTATTTAATATTTCCAAGTCAGTTATTGTTAGCTTTTCCATCCTGTTTTAAGGGTACACTAGTTAGTGTTTGCTAGTCATCAGCAGTAGCAACCTCAAAGCAATGGTGGCTTATAATAATGAAATTTATGTCTCACTTACATATTGGCTGTAAATCAGCTGGGACTCTGCTTCATGTGTCTTCTTCCTTCTGTGATCCATACTAAAGGATCAGCCTCTATTGTGGGATATGTTATTATTGTACCAGTGGGAAAAGAACTTTCATAGGATCACGTGTGAATTTTGCTTGAATGTGGCACATATCACTTTCAAAACAATTCACATGGCCAGGCCTGGAATTAGTGGGTCAGAAAAGCATTATTTTCTCATAGGATGCAGAGTGATCTATGGGGAACAAGATTGTATATAAAGAAATCAAAAGCAAGAGTATAGTATAGTAGTAAATCTTATTCTCTCATCTTGGCTTTTCAACTTGTTGACTACCTGTCTTTTCCCAAATTTTTCCCAACCCTGAGCTTTCATTCTGCTCTCGGTATAATACGCTAAATCAGCAAGTTCAGAGCAGGCCATCTCTTTCACAACACTCAGTTGAGAACCATTGACTTAGGTGATCTCTGATGACCTCCTGGTTTTAAAAGAAAGTGACATTTTAAAAGCAAAGTTGACCTTTTTCCTGAATTTCTTTTTGTGAAAATTTTTTTTTTTTTTTTTTTTAAAGATGGAGTCTTACTCTGTTGCTCAGGCTGGAGTGCAGTGGCGTGCTCAACTTACTGCAACCTTTGTTTCCCAGGTTCAAGCGATTCTCCTGCCTCAGCCTCCCAAGTAGCTGGGATTGCAGGTGTCTGCCACCTTGCCCAGCTAATTTTTTGTATTTTTGGTAGAGATGGGGTTTCATCATGTTGGTCCAGGCTGGTCTCTAACTTCTGTCCTCAGGTAATCCACCCACCTGGGCCTCCCAAAATGCTGGGATTACAGGCATGAGCCGCCATGCCTGGACAAAGAATTATTTTTTAAAGAAAAAAATTAATTTCAACATTGTTACACAACTGGTTATCTTTACTTTTTTTTCAGTGTTTCTCTCTAGTTCATCTACATATTTAATGTTATATGATAGACATATCGTTACACAATATTTATTTCTTGTCACTGCTCCATTTCCTTCCAGGAAGATTTTTCCTAGTCTTTCTTATTTAAGCTGAGATGCAATAGGTCATACTGTCTCTTTTCTTCAGTATTCTGGTCTCTCTTTCATTTTAATCAGCAAATCCCCAACTATGTCACCTTTCATCCAAAATGCTTTAGCAGTGCAGTTTCAAATATCACAAATACTGTGTCTTGTGCCATTAAATTTTTGTATCTAAAGTCTCCATTGGACCTACCATGCCTGTAATCTATCCTTTCATTTATCTCTGGACAACTCCCTCTCCCATTCCTTTAATGAGCAATTCTAAACAGCCCTCTCAAGCTCCATGCTCAGCTATGCTTCTCAACCTCTGCAGGTAGCCTTATATTCATCCATTAAATATCTTCTGCTTCCTGCCTTCTTTGTTTCAGTTATAGGGGAAAAGTGTTCACTCTGCTGTGGAAGATCAGTTCTTTTTTTGTGTTCTTAACTCTTGTCTGCTACTGCTGCTTAAGGACCTAACTACATCTCTTCCTCCTCTCTCATCTGTCTTGAGTGTGCTTCCTCTACTTTCTTGTCATTATTCATTTGTAAATTTGTATGTCACTTAATTTCAGTAAATCAAATAAATTTTTCCTTGACTCCCTTTAAACTCCTTTCCAGTTAGTGTGAAAACTTGGAACAATGAAAATAGTTACTGTTTCAATGCTATAGATGTTTGACATGACCTTTGTTTTAAAAGCTTTCTCCCGGTGGGTTATGGTGGCTTACACCTGTAATCCCAGCACTTTGGGAGGCTGAGGCAGGCGGATCATGAGGTCAGGAGATCGAGACCATCCTGGCTAACACAGGGAAACCTCATCTCTACTAAAAATACAAAAATTAGCTGGGCATAGTGGCACATGCCTGTAGTCCCAGCTACTCAGTAGGCTGAGGTAGGAGAATCACTTGAACCAGAGAGGTGGAGGTTGCAGTGAGCCAAGATTGCACCACTGTACTCCAGCCTGGGCAACAGAGAAAGATTCCATCTCAAAAAAAAAAAAAGCTTTCTTCTCTGGCTTTTGTGTCACTTCTCTCTGGAATCCCTCATACCTTTCACCATTTTCTTTCTGTAGGTTTCTCCTCTTGTTTAAATGTTAGATTTATATCTTTAGTCCAGTCTTCTTTGAACCTGTCTTTCATACTTGCTAATCCAGTTGCCCACTGGACACACTTCTTTTGTATGTTTCACCCAGAAGTACTTCTAACACATACTGTCTCTTTCTCACCACTGTGTGTGTGTGTGTGTGTGTGTGTTTGTGTGCGTGTGTATTTGTGTGTGTGATGTCTTAAGCATTTAATGAAAAATTTGATAATTGTTGAGCTCAGAAACCAATACCCCAACATACAGTGCTCTGATATACTGAACTAAAGAAGCCTCAAGGTCTCTTCTGGCTCCACCATGCACCCTCCTACCCTGCCACGACCCATCTAACAATATATTTAAAACTCATACACCTATTCCTCTTATTTATTTTTCTCCTTTATTTGCCATTTCTTTTATTGGCACAGTTCACCATGACACTCAAGCTAGAAATACACTGTTACCCTTGAATACTCCTCTATTCTTTTCTTACATGCAGTGAAATGCCAAAAAATCTCTAAATTTTGATTTCTTCTCTTTTTTTCATCTATATTATCACTCTCTTGGATCAGGCTTCTACTCTTACCTGGATTATTACAATCTTTTATAAGTGTCTAGCTTAGTTTTGTTGCTGTTGTTAAAATTTGTCCTCTAAACATCTGTCAAACCCAACTCATATACAAATCTGTCACTCCCTAGCTAAGGCCATGTGTGATAGTCATTGCTCTTTGTGATCTGGCCCTTGCCTAGTTTACTAGCCAAATTGCTCCTCACCATTCACTAGAGCCTTTGTGCAATAGGGTCACTGCTTATTTTCCAGACGTGCTATGCTTGCCTTTACCTTTGTATTATTGTATGACACTTAGAATCCTTTAACTAAAATTCCAAGCCTACCACACTCCTCTATCTTTTGAAAATCTTGTGCTCATCCTTTGGAACTCCACTGTAGTCACTCATTCCTGATGTGTGATGTCACTTCTTTGCCTGTCTTTATGTATAAAATCAGTGTTCCCAATGCAAAGAGATGATAGATGTTTGAGATGATGGATATGCTAATTGCCCTTATCTGATCACTATACATTATATGTATCAAAATATCACTATATAAACCATAAATATGTACAGTGTTATCTGTCAATTAAAAATAAAATTAAAACAATGAAATGGTTTTGGTGGGGAAAAAAGTCCTTAGAGCAGTGCCTGCCTTATAGCAAGTGCTGTATACATGCTGGCTATTAATGCTCTTAGCACATTGTTGATTTCATTTTCTGGTCAGTTTCCTGTGTGACACTGCAGAACCTACTGATGACTGCGTGAATGATGGCTAGGTAGTGTTCCATCAGGTTGCTACATTTTATTTCAGTTGTCCTCTTACAGGACAGTGATAAACTTGTTAACTTTCAGATAACACCTTGTTGTAGGTTTTCTCTTATTTAAGATCATTTCTTTCACATAGATTCCTAGGAGTAGGATAACTGAATCAGTGTTCAGGTATTTTGATGGCTGTATGTTTGTCCAGAAAGGTTAACTGCTATGTCTGATGGCGTGCTATTTTTTTCCTGCAATCTGGTTAATCATGTTGGGTATTTCACCACTAACTTAGTATTTGTAAAACAATACTTTCTTCAACAAGTTAAATACAACATTTACCAGTTATATGTATATTTGTGAGAACTGGCTACTTGTCTGTTGAGGCCTTTAAAAATGATTTTAAATGTTTGGACAGGCTCTTTAAAATACTTGAGATATAAATCTGTCATATTTGCATGGATTTTCAATAGCTTTTAACTAATGGTAATTGTTTAGATGCCTTAAAATGTTATATAATTAAATATATATCATTTCTTTTGAATAGCTGTATTTGCTACACAACTTAGAAATATGTTCTTATAAATGTATCTTTCGTGATTTGCAGTCCATCTTCTTTCATTTCGATTTGTGAATTTTTATAATTTGTAAACTTAAAATGCAACTGGAGATCATTTGTTTGTATGTAATAAAGTCTTTTTCAGTTACAGTATACATATTTTAAAAATCTTCCACGTTGTTTGGGATGCTGATATGATATGTTCAAGCCTTTGTAAAATGTCTATTTCTGATCTCTTTGTTAAAAAGAATATATGTTTTTGTTCCCAATGTATCTAAAGAAGATGAGGTTCTTTGCTTAGTTCCAACACATTCTAGTTATTTGCTTACTTGTTATTCTCTCTGGAAAGATACATTATTCACATATATATTTGAATTTCCTTGTTTATACTACTTTCTCTTTTGGATAACTGAATGATACACAAACAACATGAACTGACTATAGGGGAAGATTAACAGTTTGGAAATGTAACTGGATTCCTGCTTGACAGTAGGTTTCCATTAGGTATTTCTTATAGATCCAATTGACAAGATGTTCTCTCATTGATTCAGGAGGTATTCCTCAAAAAGTGGCTCATGGACAAAGAATCTTCGTTACCTTTCAAGCACATTTATCTTTTTTGCTGATTTCTAAACCAACCATGAAATGTCTCTGCACCTTAAATTCTATTCCCTCTGCGCCTTGTGCCCTTTGTCTTCTTTCATAGGCAGCTGAAGTTGCTCTTTTATGTGTGGATTTTTTTTTTAACTCTCTGGCCTATGTCCCAGTTTTCTAATAATGTAAAAAAGGGAAAACAGTACCTACCGCAGAAGTGTGGGTAGAATCAAATGCTTAAATACCTGAAAGTGTTTAGTTTCTGACATCTAGTAAGTCCTCAATGAATGCTAACTGTTGCTGCTACTATTGCTTATTGTCAACATGTCAGACTTTATTACTGGATGAAATCTTAAATATTTTTTTTTAATAGAGGATTCCCCCCTTAATGACAAAATCATTCATTACTGGGTCTTCATCATTGATTTCATGCCTCTCATTATATGGTATTTTAAATAACTCATCTAAAAAATTTTTAATATTTCAGAATGAAGATTTATTAAATGAAATAAAACAACTTAAAGAGGAAATAAAGAAAAAAGATGAAAGGATCCAACTATTAGAACTTCAGCTTGTAAGTATTGTAGTATAATATGTAAAGTAGGAGCCAGAATTAAAGTTTAGTGTTTTTTTTTTTGACTCTCACAAAGTTGTACTTTTATATTATTTTTAGATTATATATGCACTGTAATATAAGTATATGATTTAATTTTTAATATAAATATTAAGTGTTTGGTTTGGAAATTTTCATTGATTCAGTGCTCTCAGTTTTGGGGATTTAAAATTCACCAATTTATATTCATTTAGTTGATAGAAGGGTAAATACATTTTCTTCAGATATATTTAAAAAAAAATACTATTGAGTTGAGAACAGGACATTTTATCTCTGTGAGCAGAATTAGACTGGGTATTCAGATTTAGGTAGCTGCATAACTATCAGATTGAAGGGTATTCCAAGAAATGTTTATATCCTATGAATGATACTGAATGATGCCCCAGAGTCCTGTTTAAATTTTTATAATCTAATAATTGTGCAATTTCAAATATTAGTATCATATGAAAACAATTATATAGTGTCTTGAATTTAATTATAATTTAGTTTGTATATAAAAGGCCATGATAAAAAGAAAATAATGGCCAAAAAAATCACAACAGTCAAAAGGAAATCTTTGTTGTGAGTTAAAAGCACATTTTGGTCTAACGGAGCAATTTGGCAGTGTGAAATATTAATCTCACTGAAAATATAAAGGGTATAATATAATGAGCTTTGAGCCACTGGGGTCAGCTCACAGAGATCCATCTCATGAATAAATAGAGCATACAGATCAGATATTTTGATTAAGGGTACAAAGAAGATTTATGAATCTGAATAAAAATTGCATGATATTGTAAATTGAGGTCCTGTCACATACAAAATTAAAAAGGAAAATAATAAGACCTAGTGTTTATGTTCAGAACAAAAGACAAGAACCCAACCAACTTTGGGAGAGAAGAAAAAAGACAAAGGAAATTGTATAAGCTTTGATTTTTATAAAAATATATTATAGAGCACAGGATATTATGTCTTGTACAATTCAGACAATAGGTTATAAAGTTCATATTTTATATCCACACAAGTGTTTGTTTATATTCAAAGGTAAATTCTGGTCTTTAATGTCTTGACATATATGCTACCCAGTTAATGCCTTTCAGATATTTGAGAGGTTAATTGAAAAATAACTCAAGAATAATGAGATAAAGATTAAAATGAATGAGGTGACATGGAAACAGTGGTATAAACTTCTGAGTCACTAGTTGGAGAAAACTTACTGCCCATTTTACCTAGTGTAAATTACTATCATGCTAATGTTAGGATTTGTTTGCATTTTTAAATCTTTAATTTTTCTGAAATTAAAGATTATTTTCTATTTTAAAATTTCAAATTGCGATTTTGGAAAATATTAAGATAAAATAAGTTTGAGGAAGACGATAAGGAATATGCTGAAGGAAGTTAGAAGTACTGAAATTTTTATCTTCTACAAATGAATATTCTACATTATTCTTAATTTTCAAAAATATACTTACATAAATTATAATGTTTATTAAGTGCTTTAAAGTAACTATTAGTAGGTTGGAATAATGTTATTTTGCAAAAGATAAAAGTTAAAGAAAAGAAAAAGTAGAAAAATAAGGAAAACTTAAAAAACAGCAAAACTAAAGTAATAGAAATTAAAACAAATATAACAAATATAATAGTAATTGCAAATGGTCTTATGTCTTGGAGAGACTTTTCTTGAGGATCTAAAGCAAAATCCAGTAACTTCCTTTGTATAAAAAAAGTTAGCTAAAGGAAAATGGCACAATAAGGCTGAACATAAAAGGTTGGGGAAGTCAGGATGTGGTAGTTCAAGCCTGTAATACCAGCACTTTGGGAGGCCTAGGTGGGTGGATTGCTGGAAGGTCAGGAATTTGAGACCAGCCTGGCCAACATCATGAAACCCCCTTTTTACTAAAAATATTTAAAAAATTAGCTGAGTGTGGTGGTGTGTGCCTGTAGTCCCCAGCTACTTGGGAAGCTGAAGTAGGAGAATCACTTAAACCCAGGAGGTGGAGGTTGCAGTGAGCCAAGATCATGCCACTGCACTTCAGCCTGGGCAACAGAGTGAGACTCTGTCTCAAAAAACAAAATAAAATAAAAGATTAGGGGAGACAGAATAAAATTATTCTTATCAAAAATACCAGGATTGACATGTTAAAATTAGAAAACTAAATTTAAGACAAAGATTTGGGATTTCTGGCAAGATAGACAAATAGGAACAGTACCAGTGCACAGTTCTCAGCAGGAGTGATGCAGAAGGCTGATAATCTCTGCATTTCCTACTAAGGTAACTTGTTCATCTCACTGGGTCTGGTTAGACAGTGGGCGTAGCCCAAAGAGGGCAAGCCAAAGCAGGGTGGGACATCATCTCACCTGTGAAGCACAAGGGGCTGGAGAATTCCCTCTCCTAGCCAAGGGAAGCCATTAGGGACTTTTCCCAGCACTCTGGCCCTCTGACTCAGATACTGTGATTTTCCCATGGTCTTCACGAATCACAGACCAGGAGACTCCCTCCGGTGCCTATAACACCAGCGCGCTGGGTTTCCAACACAAAACTGGGCAGTCATTTGGGAAGACACAGAGCTAGCTGCAGCAGTTTTTTTTTTTTTCTTCCTATACCCCAGTGGCACCTAGAACACCAGCAAGACAGAACCACTTATTCCCCTGAAAAAGGAGGGTGAAGCCAGGGAGCTAAGTGATATGGTTCCATGGATCCCACCCCATGAAGACTAGCAAGCTAAGATCTGCTGGCTGAAATTCTTGTAGCCAGCGCAGCAGTCTGAACTTGACCTGGGATGGTCAGCTCTGTGGGGGGAGGGGCATCTGCCATATCTGAGGCTCAGGTAGGTGGTTTTAGCCACACTTGTGTAAAACAAAGTCACAGGAAAGTTTACACAGTGACTGGGCGGAGCCCACTGCAGCTCATCAAGGCCACTGCAGGCAGACTGTGTCACTAGGTTTTCTTTTCACTGGGCAGGCATCTCTGAAAAATGGCAGCAGCATGTCAGGGACTCATAAATAAAGCCCCCACCTTCCTGGGACAGAGCACCTGGGAAAAGGAGTGGTTGTGGATACAGCTTCAGCAGACCTAAATGGCCTTGCCCAGCAGGTCTGAAGGGAGCAACAGATCTCCCAGCACAGCGCTCAGCCTCTGATAAGGGACAGACTGCCTCCTCAAGTGGCTCCCTGACTCCCTGGCTGAGAGACACCCCCCAGCAGGGACTGGCAGACACCTCATACAGGAGAGCTCTGTCAGATGGCAGGTACCCTTCTGGGACAAAGCTACCAGAGGAAGGAACAGGCAGCAAACTTTGCTGTTCTGCAGCCCCCACTGGTGATTCCCAGGCAAGCAGCGTCTGAAGTGGACCTTCAGCAAACTCCAGCAGACCTGCAGCAGAGGGACCTGACTGTTAGAAGGAAAACTAACAAACAGCAGTTGCTTCAACATCAACAGAAAGGATGTCTGCTCAGAGACCCCATCCAAACGTCACCAACTTCAAAGACCAAAGGTAGATAAATCCATGAAGATGGGAAGAAACTAGCACAAAAAGGCTGAAAATTCCAAAAATCAGAACACCTCTTCTCCTCCAAGGGATCACAACTCCTCAGCAGCAAGGGAACAAAACTGAATGGAGAATGAGTTTGACGAATTGATAGAAGCAGGCTTCAGAAGGTGGGTAATAACAAACTTCTCTGAGCTAAAGGAGCATGTTCTAACTTGATGCAAGGAAGCTAAGAACCTTGAGAAAAGATTAGATGAAATACAAACTAGAATAACCAGTGTAGAGAAGAACATAAACAATTTGACAGAGCTGAAAGACACAGCATGAGAACTTCGTGAAGCATATACAAGTTTCAATAGCTGAATTGATCTGGCAGAAGAAAGGATATCAGAGATTGAATATCAACTCAATGAGATAAAGTGAGAAGGCAAGATTAGAGAAAAAAGAGTGAAAAGAACAAAGCCTCCAAGAAGTATGGGATTATGTGAAAAGACCTAATCTCTGTTTGATAGGTGTACCTGAATGTGACAGAGAGAATGAAGCCAAGTTGGAAAACACTCTTCAGAACTTCCCCATCCTAACAAGGCAGGCCAACATTCAAATTCAGGAAATGCAGAGAATACCACAAAGGTGTTCCTCAAGAAGAGCAACCCTGAGACACATACTCATTGGATTTACCAGGGTTGAAATGAAGGAGAAAATGCTAAGGGCAGCCAGAGAGAAAGGTTGGATTACCCACAAAGGGAAGCCCATCAGACACAGAGGATCTCTTGAAGAAACCCTACAAGCCAGTAGCGGGGGCCAGTATTCAACAACCTTAAAAGAATTTTTAACCCAGAATTTCACATCCAGTCAAACTAAGCTTCATAAGCAAAGGATAAATAAGATAATTTACAGGCAATCAAATGCTGAGAGATTTCATCACTACCAGGCCTGCATTACAAGAGCTCCTGAAGGAAGCACTAAATGTGGAAAAGAACAACCAGTACCAGCCACCACAAAAACATACCAAATTGTAAAGACCACTGACACTATGAAGAAACTGCATCAACTAACAGGCAAAACAACCAGCTAGTATCAAAATGGTGGATCACATTCACACGTAACAGTATTAACCTTAAATGTAAATGGGCCAAATGCCCCAATCAAAAGACACAGACTGGCAAATTGGTTAAAGAATCAAGACCCATCAGTGTGCTGTATTGAGGAGACCCATCTCACATGCAGAGACACACATAGGCTCAAAATAAAGGGATGGAGGAAGATTTACCAAGTAGATGGAAAGGAAAAAAAAAAAAAAGCAGAAGTTGCAATCTTAAACAGTTGTAAATCCAACAAAGATCAAAAGAAACAAAGAAGGGCATTACATAATGGTAAAGCAATCGATGAAACAAGAAGAGCTGACTATCCTAAATATGTGTGCACCCAATACAGGAGCACAAAGATACATAAAGCAAGTTCTTAATGATCTACAAAGAGACTTAGACTCCCACA